TGCTGAACCAGCTCTGCTCAAGCGTGACCGCAATAAACTCCTGATCTTTGTACTGTATATCAACCAGTGGATTAAATATTCACCACCAGTACCTAATCTATAGCTAGAAGTTATCACGGCTTGGTTACACATCTGGTTGACTAAATCCCTCAGGTGGTTTCATCCAAAACTCCCACTGACAACAGCCAGACACAGTCTGGGTGTGGGGTCATCTGAATCCCTCTGAGTGTGAAAGATTACAGCAACCCAAAGGATTAAAGTTAAACCAGCGGTGCTTACGGCACTGGCTCCATGGAAAGATTTATGAAGGTTTGGCAATTGCAGTCTGCCAGTGAAAATACATGTCTTAACAGTACAGTGACTAAAACTAATGTTGTATTTCTGCTAGCTGCTGCCTGTGCATTTGCTGATGTATTTAGTTTCTAGATTCATGGCTAGAAGACCTTACTCATCACAGCTCTTAATGCCCCTATCCTACTGCAAAGCCTGGCACCTGACTTGATGAATAGTTACTGGTATTAATCATTGGAGGGGACCAGTTTCTTCTTTGTACATTTGTCTGAAAAATTGCGCTCTCTGTGGAAGCTTTTAATGGATTTCTCAAGTCTTTATCAAGCGTGACACATAATGCCTGAAATTCAATGGCAGCGACAAATGAAAGGGACAAAAACCAAGATGGAAGCATAATTACTGTGTATCAAAATATAGTGCTTTGGTAACTGAAACTCACAGGTGATGTAGCAACAGTTTAACATTGCCAGGCACTGGGGTCCTCACAGCCACCCATGCTGCCACCCTGCTCTCCCTTCCCCAAACTTAATTGCCTTGCAATTATTGGTTAGGAAAAAAACTGTAACCACTAGAGATTAATTGCATCTCTCTGAAACGCCCATCCCTGGACCCGACAGGGAGATTGGTCTCAGTGCTTCTGTCCATAGCATCATTTAGCAGCAAAAATACAATGAATTTTTTTGGAAATGTCAGGGGGAAGTTGCCAGCTTTCCTCTCGGGCTTGGATGGCTACTGGACCACTGTGAGTGCTTTGCTATTTCCATTACAATGGGGCACAAATCATCTGATTGTCACAGGCGACAATGAGAAACCATCTCTGGGCCTGCAGGAGATGCCATGCTGCATATAGCCCCTGCGGGAGAAGCAGGAGCAGGTCTTATCTTGCTAGAAGCAATAGAGGGGAGAAATGATGCAGAGCATTGCCCTGGGGTGGGACTCCTGCCTTTTTGGAGAAGACTGGGATGGGATCTTACTGAACCTGTCTTAGATCTTCTCCCTTCTGGCTTTTATACCCTGGACTTTTATACCACAGCCACGTGCCCTCACGATCACAATCCACAGATCCACCCTTCTGTTCAAAACCTGCTGTCGTTCAAACTCTCTCTGACCTCTCTCCTGAATGACAGGTTCTCACCACAAGCTCAGTTTGGCAGGAGAAAACCTTTGAGTCTTTCCCAGCAGCCTTTTAAAATACCATAGACAACACCACTATTTCGTCTGTCATCCAGAAATATGGGGGACAGTCTTCCTCTGAGGTCATCGTACCCAGATTATTTCTAATTCCAGTGTAGAGGAGCAGACCGTATCTCTTTGCTGTATTTCTGTACCCACTCAATACAACATGCATTTTCATTTCACACCTTACAAGCTCTTCTGTCTTGCTGTATGTGGAGCAGTATCCAGCATATTGTCAGCTATAATCAAGCAATTAGTATTACAACAAACGATGCAGGAAAATCATGTGTCTGATTCTGAAATCTCCAAGTGATTGGGGAAAATCTTTACAAAGAATTTTACCAACCGCACATAGAAGCATCACATTACTGGAGTTATGGAAACACAGCCACCACATCAGTGCAGTACCATAATTTAGAGGCTGAAATTCTCATTCTGGGGTATGTGCCATAATTTTTAATAAGAACAATTCTAAAATAGAGCTGCTGCCAAGCAAAGCATTACCAGGGATGCCAGAAGGCCTTCTGAGGTGCCAGCCCAGCAGAAAACCAGGCAGGGTTTAAGCATGGATGGTAAGGAAGGTTTCTTCGGATAGCTGGTGGACTTGCACAGGAATTCCAGCAGATTGGGGTGCTGCTTTTTCACTGAATTGGCAAATTTCTGATGGGGAAAAAAGTCCCTCTGAAATTTCCAGCCTGCACTACTATGTTTTACATAGCAGCTGAGAACAGCTCTTCCAGATGGTTTGAGGTAGGAAAGGAAAAGCACGTTTGCCATATGACACTGGAAAGTTCACAGAGCCAGATGATAGAGATGAACCTGGTTTGGGGACAGGACTCAGCAATGACACATGGAAATCATGGCTTTTCCCACAACATTTTCTGGTTTCTGTTCTAATCGTGTCCCACTGTCACTCCTGAGATGGGTAAAAATTTCCCATGGGAGCCTCTTGTACTAGAAGATAGCCAGACAATTAAAACCAGACTACTACAGCACAGAAAATATATAAGCATTTTTAAAATGTGCAACAAGTGCACGTTAAAGTGCTTAAATCCTGCAGCTTTTGTTCATGCCAAGCCCTCAAGTAATGGCAACAGGATACCAAACCAACCAAGGCAAAATCTTGCCAAATACTGTCTTTTGCTGGTACGCTTGCTGCTTGTGTTAAACACAAAGTCTGTTCTGGAGAAGGTCAAGCAGAGTTGGTGGCAACAAATCCTGGCACCACCTTCTGAGATATTAGTGGCCTCTCTGATTGTCCTGTGCGCTGGCTTTTTTACCTCACTTGCCAGAGCACCACTGAAGCTCTGTTGTTAAATGACTGATTGAGTCCAAAACACGTATGTGATAAGCTACTGGGCCCCTCTTCTGTCTTGATAGTTTATGTTACATGACATGATTTTTCTTCCTGCTTTGCATCTTGAAAAGGAAGATCAATGTTCTGGAGATTTTTAAATTGGCTCACATTGTAGAGTACATTTCATTATCTACATATCAGTCCTCAAGGTACATAGTAATTCTCTGCCTTACATTACTGGAATTTTTTGCATCTTTTCTAGGAACTAGGTATTGATCCCTGGAAAATGAACAACAATTAAAATAAAATATAGACAACTGCAATCCCAGTGGTCCCATTAAAGGATGAAATGCTTCATTAACACCTCATAAGACCATTTGGAACATGAGCGGAGGGCAGCTTTCCTCCTTCATCACTGGTGCGTGGTATCCAGAAAGGCTTTTAAACTTCCCAGGCTTAGCCTACACGCAGATTACTCTAGTGTAACTAAGACAGCTATAAGCTGAAGTGCTCTTTCCTACCACCTCAAGACATTTTTTCTACTTTGAAATTGTTTTATCATATTCCAGCCTAAATCGGTTACTTAGCAAATTACTCTTAAATGAAGTAAAGGAAATGTAAACCATCACAGAAACCATAATTGGTTTGATAAAACTAGGTCATACTGTAAATTAAACCAACACAACTCCATACACCCACATGCCCTTAAACTTCTTAACTGTGCAGAACCCATATCAAATTGTTGGACGTGATCTTCCTCAAAACTTCAGCTTTGAGGTTTTGACTGGGAAAAAGCTCTTCAGTTTAGGAGAAGTAGCAAATCTGACTGCCATTTGAACATGGCAGAAATGCTGAGTCTCTATGCATGACTATATAGTTTTCTTATATTTATTTAAGAAATGACGGGAAGAGAAAACTGAGCAATATGCTGTGCTCCTGCTGATTTCCATGGGGCAAAGGTACCTCTGAAAATTGAGCCCCTAAGTGTCATGCAAGTCATAACTTGCACATGAAGTGGTGCCTACATGGAGTGACTGGAAACACACACTACGTTAGCGTGATTCAGGAAAGTGTAATTGGTTGCCAGTGAGGAACCCAAGAGAATAAGCCTCCAATACTATTTTATGTGCAAAATAAACTGTAATCAAGCCCAAGAGGTAACCACTCAGTATGGAGACAGGATCTAACTAAGCTACAGTCTCCCATGTTGTCTCCACTGACTGTGAGAGATTGTAGAGGTTGTCCTAACTCCTCCTTATCCACCCACACAGGGTGTAAACGATGCTTGGACCACATCTGTCCGCCTGAATGAGAGAATGACCCCCTCAGAAACTCTGTCTCAGTCCACAGAGACAGCAAATGGATCCAGCTATGGATCTGGCTTCCTAATGCCCAGAACAATCTCATTCTGCATTTTCTGCCAAGTTTCTTATTGACTATTTCATCCAGCTAGAGACTAATGACACCTGAGACTTCAATGGTGTTATGTAAATATCTATCCTATAGAATCAGGGTTATCCACCTAAGGCTTCTGAGGTTTCTAGTTTACTTCTCAGAGGTCCCTGAAGAGTAACTCTGACCAATGCTCCTTGTCAGTTGGCTTAAATTCCTCAGCTGGGAAATGCTTAGGGGGCTGCAAATCCAAAAAGGTTGAAAACCGAGGCAGTCAATAGACAGATAATGTCAGTCAGATACTG